TCTTCAAAAGGCATTTGAAAAAAATTCTTACAATGAATACTACATCAAAAACTGTTAAATCATTAGACAATGCACACAGTGATGAAAGCACCAAGGACAACCAGGCTAGAAAAGAAAGAGAGAAGAGGCGAGAGAAAGAAGCAGAGAAGAAAGGAAAGGAATTTATATGAGAGGAGGAATTCCAGGAATTTTGAACAGGCTATTCATCCACACTGGGTTTCCTCTAATATGCAGATTATGCCTAAACTAAGATTATTTTTTCTTTTTAATTAAGAGCCATTTAGGATGAACAATTTTTTATTCTCCAGTTGCTTGTATTATAATTTCGAGAAAGTGGGATATTAAAGTCTATCTGTTGCTTACACAAAATAATTGTATTTTCTCAGAATTTGTATCTTAGGATATTTCAAGACTCCTGACACAACTTTAGAAATCTATCCTATATTCCCAAATCTTCCATGTAAAGAGAATATAATCTTTAGTAAGATGGCTGCCACAACTGCTCCTGCTACATGCTTGTGGCGTCAAGGAGGTGAAGGGGGTGAAGACCCAAAACACCAGTGGGATTTCCAGCCATACCAGGGTAGAGGTAAGGGAACCTAACAGGGGGGTGGGTGGGATTGTAGGCGGAGGTGAAGGAGAGTGACTGGAACAAGACCACCAAGCTCCCTTGGGGTCAGTCAGGTGAGAGATGCCCAGCCAGTCAGTCCAGGTGCCTCAATCAATATGAGGGTATCCTGTAGACGCGCATATTGTGATGGTGAGACAGGAATTTGTGACATCCTTGGAACAAGCTGGTGGGAACTGAACAATGTTGGCAGAGAGGGTGTACTAAGTCCAGAGTCCGAGTGAATATTTAGAAGAGATACTGAGAGCAGGGGTCACCTGTGGATCTGGGGCAGTTTCACCAAAGGCAAGGGAAGAAAAGTTGGCAGGGAGTAATCAGGGCTTGATCGTCCAGGAGTGGACAAGTGGCAGAAGGTTGGTGAAAGCATGCCCAGCAAGCTGGAAACTTGGCTGCTCAGTGGGTGGCCTGTGGTGGAAATTGCCAGCGACCTCAGTGCTGAGTAAGTGCTGAATTAACTCTGGAGAAGCAACAGTTGGATGTGGAATGTCGGGTCACCTGGAGCAGTGAATGGCAGCAGGCATGCTGGAGCTTGGAAATGACTCTCAGGAATGTAAAAGGAGTTGAATGGACTTGGTGGTAGCAGATTTGGAGTAGTCTGACAACAGAGCAGTAGCAGGCCAGAAGATAGAAGGACCAGGAGGACTCAGAACTAAGCACTAAGGTCTAGAGACACTCTATCATAGATGCAAAAGCTTGATCTTGGAGGTGGTCCAATCAAACCAGAGTTGCAAGTCTTGTCCATCCTTGGATGACTGCCAAGCATCAAAGGATGCAAGTGTTTCCAGGAGGTGCAGGCCATAGAAATAGTAGTGGAAGTGACTGAAGAGACTACTGGTCAAATACACCAACAAAGGCCTCGACAGATAGGGATTAGTCCAGGTTGGTGGGGCATTCTCTGCAGCCATCCTGGACACAGGACTGAGATGTTAAAGGTGAAGGTTTCTTCTTGTTTGGTCTGAGAGGGCATGAAGCAGTCACTGGGTACATGATGGGGCAGGGGCCCTCATAACACTAAGAAGTGCACAGGCAGTCACTGGGCCCAAAGTATGTCTGTGAGGTGAAGGCATAGAAACTTTTGTACATGAGGCAGTTCCTCACAGACTGGACAGACATGAGCTGAGACCAAGGGCTAGTGAGTGTTGCAGAATCCTTGACCTATTTAGGGTTCTCCCAGTGGTGCCCCTGTCTTGGAGTATAGCAGCTGTGTAAACCAACTGAAGCATATCTGCATGCCTCAGTAGCTCTCGTCCTTCCTCAGCTGAATGCCATCCACTTTCAGCCCTCAATTTAAGGAGGCTCATGCTGGGGTGTGCTGTTTGCCAGGCCATGAATAGCCATTACAGCAGAGTATAGGTACGGCTTAGGTCAGCCTGCTCCGGGTCCAGAGCCCCATCTCAGTGTGCTTCCCGGATAAGCTTGACATGATCTTTAAGTAATGGAGTGATCATACTGTTTTGGAGACAGCTACCAGATGCTGTATTTCCTGGCCTGTGAGATGTAGACCATTTCCTATCACGCACATATGGTACAGCCAGGCGGCACATTTCTTGTGTGGCCTCTGCCTGAGGTCTTGGAGTGGGCTTTGAATTTCTTCCTGTGTCCCCTCCTTATCCACCACTTCGCTTTCCATAGTTTCAGTTGCTTGAGGTCTATTGCAGTTCAAAAATATTAAATGGAAAATTCTAGAAATAAAACTCATACGTTTTTTGATTGTGTATTGTTCTAAGAAGTATGATAAAATCTTCTGCAGTCCTGTCCCATCCCAACCTGGATGTAATTTCTTTGTCTATACACCCCTCACCTGTCAGTCACTTAATAGCTGTCTTGATTATCAGATTGACTGTCATGGTATGACAGTGCTTGTGTTCAAGTAACCTTATTTTACTTAACAATGGCCCCAAAACACAGGAGTAGTGATGCTAGCAAGTCAGATATGACAAAGAGAAGCCATAAGTGTGTCTCTTAAGTGAAAAGGTGAAAGTTCTTGACTTGATAAGAAAAAAAAAGAGTACCCTGAGGTTGCTGAGATCTACAACAAGAGCAAATTTCCTATCTGTAAGAATTTTCTAAGAATTTTCTTTCTTAGTCTGTTTTCTATTGTTATAACAGAATGCCTGTAACTGGGTAATTTATAAAGACGGTTATTTTGGCTCACAATTCTGGAAGCTCAGAAGTCAAAGATCAGGGGATATATCTGGTAAGCTTATGACAAGGGCCTGGTGCTGTGTCATAGCATGGTAGAGAGGTGGAAAAGAAAGAGGGCACGCGTAAAAGAGAGCATACACACGGGGGAACCTCGTTTTGTAACAGCCATCTCTTTTGGTAACTCCTCCGGCTGAGTGAGAACTTGCTTTGGGATCTGGGGTTTGCTTTTCCCTGACCCAGCTGGTTGAGAAGGTGGCCGCTGCTCTCTTAATTGTGGTGACTGGCAATGCCTGTGGCGCAGCTGGTGATCATCTAGCAACTCAGGATCATCATTCCACAGCTCACAGGTCCCCAGAGAGGCCAGGCGCAGCGATGCAACTCTGAGGGGAGCCCATATGACTTGCGCATGTTGTTCATGGGCTGCTGTCAGCAGAACCCAGCAGGCATCATGGGGGTGATTCCTCTCTTGAGAAGCTGTGTCACTGGGAGTGTACGTACGAACAGGGATGGCAGCAGCGTGCCCTTTAGTGACTTCACTTGCATCATGGGTTCAGGGTCTATCAGAGGGTACTCTTCTAATTCCCTGGTTGGTGGACAACAACGACAGGTAAGTTTTCTGCAGATAAGCTTTACCTGAGCCTTCTTTGCCTGTGGCATCATGATGTCAGGACCTTTTGGAAGGGGGCGTTCCTCTCCTACAGTGGAGACCAGAGACACAATGGCTGGCATTTGGCTCTTCAAGCCTAGCCCCCAGTGTCCCTACCATTTTCCTCCTAGGATCCTGTCTCCTCTTCCTAGGGTGCCAGAGTGGTCTTAAAATAATTTTAGCGGGTTTTTCCTGGTGGCAACCTCCACAGCAGAGGCACAAAGTACACACAGAAGGCAGATTCAAAAGCAGAACAAAAACTACAAGTCCCACTGTGCAGCATTCCACAGGGGTCACCAATTCTGTGATCAGAGTCAGTCCCAAGTCACTATCTCTCGATTCTTCCATAGAAATGGGTGTCATTGCTCAGTTGCTTATTCAAATCCTATCCTCATCACCAGTTGTTGTGTTCAGCAGTTTCAGGTGGTCCTAGTTAATCAGCTTCCCAGAGAGTGACTTCTCCCCTTCAGTCTAATTTCTGTCAAAGTTGAGTCTTAGATGTCATCTGTATTCAAGCAGTTTATTCTGGCAGCACTCTTACAAGATGGAAAACGGAAGCTGGCTGGTGTCATGTACCAGATACAGTCAGGGGTCACATGACCAACTAACTGTCAGAGTCTCCATCAAGAGACCATTCTCATAGACTGGGAGATTTCTACTGTTTCTTATAAATGTGTTTGGTCTGGGTCAGTTACCAGGTGTTTCTTTCATAAAGGGAGTTTAAGCTATTCTTGTAAGGTTAAGCTTTGTTCTAAGGTTTACCAAAGTTGCATCTGTGCTGAGGTAGATTTGACTTCTGGAAATCCCTGGGCCAGAATTGGAAGTCCTGGGCCAGGTTGCATCATACTATTCAGTGGGCCTTATAGCTTATCATTAATCTTATATTTCTTTTATACTAGTTATTTAAAAAAACTTCTCTTTTAAAAAAATCTAAACTTTATTTATGAAGTTTCTATGTATTTATGTGACCCAATTCAATTTCCCTGATGTTTTTAACCTTGGAAAAAAGTTTAACCAAATGAATTCATTGAGTTTATCTTTCAAAATCCTGAAGTATCCTTTTGGGATCTAAAAAAGACATTCAAAGGGTAGTCAGTAATTTCAAAAGCCTTCTCTTTATACAGAGAATCATAATATAATGTGGCAAAAGACAAACAGCTTAGCTTGTGATCCTTTGGTTACCTATATATCTTCTGACAAAGCAGAAGAAAAATAAGAAAAAGAAGGGGATGGATGCCAAGGAGGGAAGAAAAAAGGAAAGAAAGGAGAGCAAATATCAAAATATTAAAAGACTTATTTAAAATTACTTTAAAAGACCCATACAATCTGTCAGGAGGTATGCTAAAATACAACAATTACAATTTTTTTTAGAAAAGGTCTATCTGTCACCATCCTCTTTTTATACTTTCTTTTGTTAAGAACAAGGGAACATTTTTCTTCCATGCAATATGAACACAACTCTGCAGTATTGCAATACCTATTATGGTACCAAGAGACGGAGCCCTCTGTCTCCACTGGGTTGAACTTAACCTTAGTGAATGCAAAGTTATTTGTGATCCCGTGCTTGCCCACCCACTAAGCCAGCAAATGTCCACAGCAAATGCCATTATGCACTTTGAACGTGAATGAGCATCAAGGCTTAGCTGGTTATACTAATGCTTCTCACTGCTCAAAAAACCAACTTTTTAAAATCTAGATTTTGCTATTTTCACATGAACTCATTTTTAAAGATGAAAACATTATCCTAAAAATTGTATTAATGTATTAAGCACCACCCTACAATGATTTCTATGGTCATTTTCCACATAACAAAAATCAAAATTGTCTTTTTAGTTCAGAAGTCTCATTTTTTTTTTACATACTTAAAAGCATTCCATTTGCTGTTTTCACATAAGATGTGAGTCTGTCCAAAAGTCATCCAAACAGAAGGTTCATTATACCCTTAGATCCTAACTTTGTAGCCCACATGCACCTGAGCTGCAAAATCTTAGCAAGAATACTCTGGTCTGGAACGGCCATTTTTACAAGTCATCTGAGATTCTACACTTGACCTAGAACAAAGCAGCAGTTTTTCCGAATCATCCCTGTGCCTTCGTGTCCAGAGGTCCCCTACACTTTGAGACCTGGGAGACAGGGTTTCAAATTGGATATAAGTTTCTTTTGCCAAATCATCTTCCCAGAAAGGTTCTGGCTTACATTGCAGTTTGCAAACCTTGTACAACAAGAAACAAATTAATGGCAAGACAATAACACAGGCAGCACTAGTCACCACGATGAGGAGAGACCATTGAGGATCATCTTCTTCGACTCTTTCAGTAGAAAAGGTGATACATTGGTCTTTCTGGGGAGGCACTCCTTTTGGACAGACACATGCCATGTATTGCCCACCGGGCTCCAAGCTATCTAGGGTGACTTGGTTCTTGCTGGCATTGGCATTCAGCAGCAGCAAGTCCTTCCCACCATACTTAGAATATAACACAGTCACTGCAGCGTTGTGCGGGGCGTTGATGGTGTCCCACGTCAAAGTCACACTCTCCTTAGTCTCGCTGACCACCCTGAGGTTTTCTATCATGACATTGGTCTCCATAGGCATTGTTTGATCCAATGATGCCAACTCTTCTCTCTTACTTGCACTGGCTGGGGGAAGCTTGCTTCCACTACTCATCGCTGCTTTTGCATTTCTTTTCCCATCTGGGTGGAGGTGGAGTGATCGCCTGCTGGCCACAGTTGTGCTTGCGGAAATGCTAGTGCTAGTTGTGGTTGAAGAAACAGTGGAGGAGAGGACAGGAGATAAAGAGAAGGAAGCAGTGGAGGGCAGAGACACAGGAGAAGTAGAAAAAGAAGTAGAAGATGCCGATGACAGGGAAGAAGAAGAAGAGGAAGAGGACCAGAGAGAGGTCGATGCACCCAGGTCAGATGTTGATCTTCGAGATCCTGGCTGGACCTCCTGCTCAGGATGCTCTCCAGTTCCTTCAGCAGTATCTGATGCTACTGTGGTTGTGACAACGCCAAGCACCGTTACAGTAACCACAGCTTCTGACGTCCCAGCCAAATTCTTGGCCTTACATTTGTAATCCCCAGCATCTTTGTAAGAAATGCCTGTCAAGCTTATGATGGACCATCTGACTCCTTCCCCTGGAGATTCCTGTATTACTGGAAGAAAACAAATGTATACTCTGTGAGAAAAAAAAAAAGGAAAACTCAAGCAACTATGGCAACTGGGAAGGAAACAACTATCTGTTTCACATGCATCCCTCTCACATAAGCCAGGAGAGAAACAATACTTGGCAAGTTGTTCCCATGAAGGTCCAGGACCTGCCAGCTGTTGTGAGGTCTGTATCGGGAATAGTATGTTTAAAAGACACAAGACTAGTAATCAGGAGACTTGGGTTTTAGGAAACTTCTGCCCACCAAATAGTAAATGATTTTAGACAATTCATTTAGTGTTTGTAGACCTCTGTTTCTGCATTTATAAAATGAGAGGATGAGACAAAGTCATCTCAAAGATTCCTTCCAATTTTAACTCACTGTGATTCTATAAAATGTTTACCATAAGACCTTACTTAAATATTTCTCAAGATATTTTTCCATTGTAATAAAATGCATCTATCCATATAGTCAGAAGCACAGCAGATCATTTTCTGGTATGGAAAAGTCTTCACTTGTATTCTGTGTAATTTCTTTTATATTTAACCTTGATGAATTAATAAATCATGGCTTCTTTTGTTTGCAGAATAACACATCGCTTTTACAAAAATTGGAATTTTGCTTTTCTAAATATTAATATCTGAACATATTTCCTTTCTGTCTTGATTTCAGAAACTTTCTGAAGATTTATAATACACAGAACAGTATCTCAGTAGCCTGTAACTTAATTCACTAGCTTAAACAGTGGACCATCTATTATCTAAATGTAGGAACATTAGGCCTTAACTTTTAAAATTTCCATCAGGCTTTATTATTTCACTTTTTAATTTTCAAGAGTTTTAAAAATATGGCCTTTTAATTGTCAAAAAGTCAGTCTTGAAACTAGGGTCAAAGCATGGACTTCATCATAGCAGGAGCTGCAATGTCCATATAATCAATAAGTCTAAAAATCATATGTTTTGATTCATAAATGTTTTCGTGTATGTATTGTTTGTATAATTATTCAGAAATGAGAAACTTGTATGAAAGGCCCTTAAAAAAAAATTATAGTGGTTGTACATTTTGAAGTGAGTTGTACCCAAAATAATGATGTAAGACAAAGGCCTTATCTGTAATCACCCATCTACCAGATCATTTTTATACCTAAGAAAACAAGTTTAGATTGTCTAATTATATCAAGGGAGTCAGATACACGAGGAGGATACTAATCAGTAAAATGTACCTTTCAAATCTCTTGCACCCGACAATCTTGGCTTACTTTATTAGCATGAACTAGCTAATTTCAAATCACAAAGAAACATGAGCTCAAGTTCAGACCTTAGTAAATTCCTTGTTTCCTAAGGTGAAAAAATTAAGAAAATACCTGTATAATTGACTGGTGAGCTGTCAGACCTGGTCCACGTGAGCTGTGGGGTGGGGTAGCCAGTGGCATCGCACCGCAGCAGAACATTACTGCCCAAAGCAGACATGATTTTTGTTGCTGAGGTCATCACTGATGGCTTCAGACACTGCTCCAACTCAGCCCGCTGAAACAAAATTCCCGTGAGGCGCTCAGGTTCACTACAAACCATCAGTGGATCTAGAAGCACAATAGCAGGGTCAACAACCTTTGACAACTCGATAATTTTGGAAATATGACAGTCACAGAACCAAGGGTTGTCCTGTAGACCTAAAATAGAAGGCACAAAAGGTTGATAAAGGTTATTGTGATGACTTCAGCTTATATCACAGACTTTTGGGAAAGTAGGGATCTGCACTGTTTCCCTAAAAACAGAAGTGCTTTGAGGGGTGAATAGAGTCACCTCTAGGTCAGTGTTGCTCTGCAAGCTGAATGAACATACTTTGTCCGTTAGTTCATGTTATTCATTACAATGGCTAATATTTATTGAGCATTTACTTTGTGCTGGGTTCTGTTCTAAGTACTTACCTGTATACTTGCACTTAATCTCAACAATCCTATGAAGAGGATGGTATTATTATCCCCATTTTAAAGATGAAGAAGCTGAGGCAGACAGGGGTCAAATAACTTGGCTAGGGTCGCTTAGCAAAACAGCATCAGAGCCAAGATTTGACTCCGGGTACCAAATGCCGTATATACAATCATAGAGATATTTTTAAGGTGCTGTGAAAGTACTTACAGTGTTATCAAGTGTCACAGGGTGCTCAGGAGCACCTAACTCAGCCTGGAATATGTCATGGTTTTGTGGGATTTGAAGACATACTGAGGTAATGCAAGCTTTGTGTAGCAAAAACAGAGTGAGATGTAGTCAATTAGACTACAAAGGCTGGTAGAGGCAAGAACATGGGTTGGCATCAGTGTCATATGTGATGGCCATGAAAGGGGTTTGCTTAAAGCTCCCTTCAAGAGAGAATCGGCTATAAGGAGTCCAGGTGTTGGGGCTCTTACCTGTAATCCTAGCACTTTGGGAGGCTGAGGAAAGAGGATTGCTTGAGCCCAGGAGTCTAAGACCAGCCTGGGCAACTTACGAGACCTCATCTCTATTAAAAGGGTGGGGAGGGGGAAAATCAACTGCAAGGAATGCCATTAGCTGACAGCCTCCAGTCGTACATACATTCAGGATCCGCCTCAGCTTACAGAACTGTTAGCAGAAGCCTTTGAGTCTCCAAGGAGGCTGTCAGTGAGGGCTTAAAGGAAAGTGAGAAAAATGTTACAGAAGCTGAATAAAGCAAAGGGGATCCTTGTTATGGAGTGGCAGAAAATTTAGCGACACTATTGACTGTGTAAGTAGAAAAGTAGAAAACATACTCAATGCAATAAGCAATTACCTGGCCGAGTGCAGTGGCTCATGCCTATAATCCCAGCACTTTAGGAGGTCAAGGCAGGAGGAATGCTTAAACCCAGGAGTTTAAGACCAGCCTGGGCAACATAGTGAGACTTGTCTCTACCAAAAATCAAAAACATTAGCTGAATGTCTGTAGTCCCAGCTACATTGGAGGCTGAGGCAGGCTGATCACCTGAACCCAGGAAGTCAAGGCTGCAGTGAGCCATGATGATGCCACTGTACTTCAGCCTGGGCGACAGAAATGAGACCTCAACTAAAAAAATAGTAATAATCAGCTTTCTACCTAAGGATATTTTCACACAGAGTGTTGAAACTGCTGCCTGGTATCTTCTTGCTAGTAAAATGTAAAGAACCAACAGCTAGAGAATTGTTAGATATAACAGAATCAAAACTTGCTAGGTTCAATAACAAAACTAGTTTTCTTTCCCAGCCTCTCCAAAATTCTCAAATTAAGAAAGGACTTCAGAGAAAAAAGCAAATCCAGGGTGATACTATACAATTATTTGCTAAAATCTCAAAAGGATTTAAGATAGTGCTTCAGAGCATTCTGTCAGACCAGTCTTTCCAGGATCTTAAGGGTGATGTTCCATAACAGCCTCAGACAAAGCCCAAGATAGAAAAGTGTTTATGTCAGAGATTTGTGGTTATGGCTTTTTACTAATGAAGTGAATTATAAATTGGGAAGAAAAAAAAATGCCAGAAACTGTAATTTAAAAAATTCTAACTATAGTGGGAATGTAACTTTAGTTCATAAATTATATATTTCTTTTATGCCTGCTTTTATTATAATAGTAATTCATGACTGGCTCATATTTTTCTTCCAGTATAGGTAAAAGTTCACTTTTTAAAAAATCTTCTATCTTAGACATTTGTTTTTCTTCCATGGATGAATAACCTTGAACTTTTCCCTCTTGTATTTATTCTTGTGAATCTATGACTAGTTTTCTAATATTAATTTGAACTTAACCGGGTGCAGTGGCTGGTTTCTGTAATCCCAGCACTTTGGGAGGCAGAAGCGAGAGGACTGTCTGAGTCCAGGGGTTCAAGACCAGCCCAGGCAACTTGGCGAGACCACATCTCTACAATAAATCAAAAAATTAGCCAGATGTGGTGTTACACTTCTATGGTTCCAGCTAATTGGAAGACTGAGGCAGAAGGATCACCTGAGCCCAGCAAGTCAAGGCTGTGGTGGCTGTGAGCGTGCCACTGCATTCCAGCCTGAGTGACAGAGTAAGAGTCCTACTCAAAAAATAATTATTTTAATTATTATTATTATTATTATTTGAATCCTATTCTCTTAAGTGTTGGCTCCTTCACCCAATTTCATGCCACAAGCAGACTTTGTAGTTTATTTTTATTTTGCAGTGGCTAAGAGTGGCTCTGGAACTTAATGTCTGGGCTGAAATCCCATCTCTGCCAAGCTCTTCCACCATAGGAAGGTAGCTAACTAACAACCTCTCTCACCTCATCTGTAGAATGTGTATAATGGCAGTAGTCCTTTCATAGAGTTGTGTAAAATTTTAGTTAAGTAATTTATACAAATTACCTTGAACAATGGTTTATTCATGGTAAAATCTCTTTAAATGTTAACCTTTCTTGCTAAATACAGTACCTAAAATCATTTTTTAATATAGTCCAAGTTTCAATCTTTGAATAAGCAACAAATTTCATGCAGAAAAAAACATTCCTACATGTGAGTCCATATTTTCTTTCTGTTAACTAGAGAACAAACTTATATAGTCTGCACTTCTACTAAAAACCAATTCAAAGCAAATACATAAGTCATGACAAAGATGTGGCCTGATAGCGCATACCTAAAATGATAAAGTCAGTTCATAGACATTCAAAAACTCACTTCACCTCTAGACACATTAGATATTCTTTCATTACTGTAAATGTCAGCTGGCCTGAAATATGAAGGCCAGATCTAAATATGGCATGAAAGAGAAATTTAAAAGTACTAGGAAAATAATATCCTAACAAGCTTTACTGTGCTTGGGTTCCAGAACAGGCTGTGCCACTAATTAACTCTGTGACCTGGATGCTGCAGTCTTGGTCAGCCTCAGTGTTCTCATCTGTAAAATGAGAGAACTGACTAGATAAACTCTAGAGCTCTTTCCAGTCATTCTGTTCTATCTGCCTGTAAAATAAAAACAGTGATAATAGACTAAAGAAAACAGTGGTAGGACAGCAAACTAACACTAAAATCTGTCTGCCGTCACTAAATAAAAAGCAGAAAAATCTGGTGACTAATTTGAAACATTTTTTATATCTGTTGATTGAAGTGTGAAACACAAGCCATGGATCAAGACTATTAAAAGTTAAATATTTCAAGTTTGTGACTTTTCTATGTCTATATTGATATACAACTAAAATGTGAATTTCATACAACATGAAGCCAGTTTATCAATTTTGACTACAGTCCAGACTAAAAGTAGTCAATTATCCTTTTATAAACAATAGAACTGATTTTACTTATTAAAATGGGAGGAGGGGCCATGCATGGTGGCTCATGCCTGTAATTGCCGTACTTTGGGGGCCAAGGCGGGAGGACTACTTGAGGAGTTTGAGACCAGCCTGGGCAACATGACGAGATCTTGTCTCTATTTTTTAAAAAAATGGCAGAAGGGGGAATCACTATTGTTTTAACTTCATTAAAGACTGAAATCCCTTCAGTAGTAGTTTTCCCTCACTTAATATACTTTTTTTTTTACATTTACCAGTTTCACTTTATTTGAATGTTATTATAAAGAATTAGCTTTGGAAGTTTTTCCGTCCAATCCACACAGTCAAACAAATGTCAGTTCAGTTGATATATAAAGTGCCAGTAACCTCTATAAAAAGTTACAAAAGATTAAAAATTTGGATTTGCTATCGATTGGTATTGTTGAATTGTGAGTTGTAATTGGTTAAAAAAAATCAATGAAATGAATATATGTCTTTTTCTGCACAAAGGATCAGATCTCAGTGTGAAGATCCAGTTGTGTATCTGCTCAATGATTTAAAAGAGAGAAAGCACTAGTGAAGAGAAGAGCACAGGATGCAAGACATCAAGTACCCTCTAAGACAAATGTGACTATCATAGTGCCTAAGAGGATAAAAGGGAATATTTTAAGTTAGGTAAAAATACAGTCAAACTGGGCATGGTGGCTTACACCTGTAATCCCAGCAATTTGGGAGGCCACGGTGGAGGGATTGCTTGAGGCTAGGATTTTGAGATCAGTCTGGGCAACACAGCAAGACCTCTTCTCTACAAAAAAAGTTTAAAAATTAGCTAGGTGTGGGGGTGCATGCCTGTAGTCCAGGCTACTTGGGAGGGAGGCAGAAGAATTGCCTAAGCCCAGGAGGTCGAGGCTGTGGTGAACCATGATCGTGCCACTGCACTCCAGCCTGGACAAGAGAGTGAGACACCAGCTTAAAAAAATTAAAAAAAAAAATATATATATATATATATATAACTAATATATATATAATCAAAAGATTTGGAAAGGAACGTGTAAACACCCACCTTAATAAGAATTCAGAAACACAATGAAACTAAAATTTCTATTTTGAAATAAAAAGTTAATTACTTTATATTTTATGTCTATACATTTTTATCAACATTCTATATCAACAAAGTGTTGAGTTCATCATAGCTATTTCATGATTTGATTTTAAGATTAATTTCTAAATCTGTCAGCAAATATAAAATTTATTTATTCTGTCATATAATAATTAGTATATGCACAATACTTTATATTTTCAAAACAGTTTGATTTGTCGGGCCACATTTTTTTCTTTATATACAAGTTAAAAGCTATTGATTGCTTTCCATGTGGCAAATACTGCAGTTGTCAAAAACTGTAAAGGCTCTGAGATTTTT